ACGATGTTGCCTTTGCGGGTGGCGAGAGGGGCACTTCCCAGCCAAACAGCCAGGGAGGCATCGCAGAACTGGAACTCTGGGCCAGCAGAAGAGGAGTTTGAGATTCATAATCCAGATTTCAGAATCATTATTAATTATGACCATCCTGGGACTGCCAGCTAAATCAGTCTTAAAAAGCAGAAATTTAGTTATTGGGCAAGGTACAGAGTAAGGATTCTAAACCCATGCAAATTAAAATTAAGCTACCAGAATATTTCCTTAACTGAAATCCTGAGAGGGAAGGGGAAATGTGATCCCCAAGATCAAGCAGATATGGCGGCGGGAGGCATCTCTGCAGCGTGCACAGACTTCAGAGGCACGCGAGCACTTCTGGTTCGGCAGCTTACCCTTCGTGTTCGGCAGCGTAGGACTCTGTAATCAGAACCAAGCGCCGGGGCTCAAATGCCAACCTAACATTTGAAACCCAGGAGTCCGACCTGTTTTCCAGGACTCTGGACCCAGCTGCACAAGGCAATTTTCTGTTACACCTCTCTCACAGAAACAGTCCCCTTGGAACTGCAAAAGATTTTCGTTATATGGTAGGAGTTAAAGAAGAGGCTATACGACGTTAGAAACAGGAGGAAGATGTGTGCAGATGCTCAGTTCAGTACGACACATTCTGCATGCTGCAGTTCAGGGCAATCAGCTAGTGAGTGCGTGCATGCCATTAGCAAGCACTTCCTTGCAATTCCTTGGCATTATTCAGAAACCCACAGCTGCAGCTCAGCTGCTAAATAATTCATCATCTACAGGTATGTCAATGCACATTTGCAAGGTAAAGCACAAGCAGCTCCAAGGAATTCAGTGGATGGCAAACAACCTCCAGTGTTGGGCCCCAAGACACAGCCAGAAGCTGTCGGGTGTTTGCAAGGAACTCCACAGCTGGGAAACGTAAAACCTGACGCAGTACAGAAACCCAGAGGACTGCGTTTAACCCCAATGCAAAAGGAGTCCAAAACCTGTCCTTAAAGCACCTCGGAGCCACCGGCCTTTTATAGCCCCCGAAGCACATAATGTAGCTGGAGAAGCAGCCTATTTTGGGGTACACTTCTGATATCTAACAACTGAAGGAGCTCAGACGAAGCCAGTTCTCAGACGGATGACATTTTAATAAAAAGTGGAATTGGCTACCATATTCCAAGAAGTTTTAAGCACGTATTTGTTCGCTCCAGTGTTTCATTAAATTGAAATCTGGGAAGTGAGGGGTTTTGGATCCTCCACAGCAGCTGATGCAATTCAGCTCCAGTCAGCATTTCACCGTTTGTCCCCAAGCCCTTCTCGAGTGAGTGGCCAGGACTGCGCATGCACCTTCCCCAGACAATCTGACTCAGGAGCATCACCCCAACGTATTCACATTGCTTTTATTTAGGTCTTCTGCCGACAGTTACAGGGTAACAGACACTTGGGACTGCAAAGTCAAAGTTGCAAGCAAAAATCAGGACCAAGGCAAAAAAAAAAAATCCACAAACGCAATCAAATCAAATATAAATACAATGTTCTGGAGCTCTTTCATCATACCGTTTTCTTTAATAAAGAGGTGGTTATGATCTTACAGTATTTTCTTTTGGCCTAATCCAAGGATTTTGTTACTCTTTACCAGCCTTAATTCCACACATAGAAAAAAAAAAAAGGATATTCAACCTTTAAAATATAAGCCATATTTTCTTAATAAAATAAGGTTTGTGCTGCTGCTTGTTTAGTAAGTACTGTACATCAACTGTTCACGTCTATTTAACAAATGGACCATACAGAGTTCAAGCTAAAGCAAAAAAAAAACCCACAAGAAAAATAACAACCCAAACAGGGTGCCTTGTAAACACCCTACGTACAGTTCAACACTTGCTTGTATAAAGGAGGTACGAAAGGGGCTAGAAATCGAACACAAAAGCACTGGAGTCCCGTAAATTTTCTTTCACAACTATTGAAGTGCAAATCACTCAGGCAAGATATGAATTTCACTTGTTTATTGCTGTCCTGCTGTCTGGCTTCCCTTCCTGAAAGAATCACATTCTTTTATTTCACACTAATTTTCCAAGAAGAAAACCTTCCGTGAGGCAACGTTGAATGCTTGGGCTTTCTGACACTAAGACATCAGCTCGTACGCGTGCGAACACCAGAACACCCCGACTGGCCCTGGGAGCGCTGGGGAGAGGGCTGCTCTGCCCTCTCGCCCCCCGTTCTGTTCGGATATGAGATAAGGGAAACAAACAGCACCCAACAGCCGACAGGTAAACGGAAGTCACTCCTCTTCCCCCTGGACTGCACGCACCCGGCGACGCTTCCAGTTGCAGAAGGAACACGTGCGCGTGGAGAAGGCAGAGACTCGGGAGCCATTTGGGATGTCCCTGTGGGGTTTGTGGCTAACTACAAATGCAGGGATGTGTCTGGGCTAACACCCAGCCGCTGTGGGTAGCAAAATGCACAGCACCTCGACATGCAGCTACTCGTTTGCATCTTGGACAGGAAAAGGGTAGAAATGCTGAATGCCGGAGCCGTGTAGAAGGTACAGTGCATAGTCCATTATACAAAACACGTGGGTAACTCAAACCCCTTCTAAATGTCTTCAAAATGCAAACAGGGTTTAAAGGGCACAGCAGCTACTGAGTTTGGCTTTTTTATTTATTCAAAACCAAGAAAACCCAACGCAGAGGGTGAAGTAAGGGCAGAACACGATCTGCAAGTCAACGGCTGAGAGTTTCAGAAGCTGTGAAGCTTTTGTGTAGTTAAAATTGCTGTTAAAAGTAGGTGCTACATCAGCAAGTCTTCATTCATAGTTTTCTATGAACAGCCACCTTACAAATGAGTGCAAATCTTAAAGGTCCATTTTACATTTCAAGTCTCAAGGTTAAAAAAAAAATTGTTACAGAGCAACAAGCTGTTTCTGTAAATGCCCACACTATCTCTTTTCAAATGATTAAAAATGGCACGTGCTATGCCACAGCTACTAAAAGACATTTCAGAATTCTAGACCCAACTAAAACACTAAAATAAAAACTAGAAATCAAAATATCTTTGCCCCTTGCTGCAGAACGGCAGCCAGGTGTGTTCCGTTGTAATGCTGGTGAACAAACTGATTTGCAGAGAGAACCTTGACCTTAACCCCGATTCTATTCTTAGCGAGGGGCATTCTAGCGCACGGTGAGCGGGTACAGCCCCTCTGAGATCATTTCGCTTTCAATGAACACAAGCCAGAGTTCTGCGGATGAGATGGAGAGGTGCTGAACTGGTGTCGCTATGCAGGCACTTGTGTACAGGAATGTAGGCTTCTCATGTTGACGCTTAGTGTTGATGCATTCCCTGCTCGCTAAAAGCCTTCCTAAGAGTTCACCACCCTACTGACCATGAACAGTTCCCGGTCTCCTCCCCGTCACCTTGCAGATATACAGCAGTGGAGGTTGACACAAGGTGCAAGGGAGAATGCGAACCAAATACTGTAGGTCTTGAGGAAAAACAGGACTGTGCTAAACGTAGGATCTTCACAAAGCGTGACATCAGTGGGCTCAGCACTTAGTTTGCATAGCATATTGATGTCTTCATTTTTCACAAACATGTTGCCCAAAAAGAAAACGGGTAGAGTGAATTCCTGGTGCTAGGACAGGTCAATGGGCCAACACGACCAATGCGGTTTTCATGAAGGCAAGGCAAGTTTAAATGTCAGAAAGTACTAAACAAAAAGGTGTGCTTCTATCCCCGCGTACTGACAAGGGGCAGTGCTTGTGGTGGACCTGCCTTGGAAACGCGTTCGCGCTTGGCAGTAAAATGACAGCAGTGCTCTTCCCTGTAAGAGCTTGACAGGAGTGTGCATGTCATTTTTTCTCTTGAAGGAAACGCTGTGCACACTTCTATATAAAAAAAACCAAAACCCCACAACAGAATCTGCCCACATGATATTGAGTTGCTACTACTGCCCCGCTGTGCATAACGGTCATTCTGTGCAGCAAAAGGAGCCTGGAAAGCAGTCGCTATGTTACTGTTGGGAAAAGGCTTTTTTCCTCTCACAAACACAAATCAGTAGGAGTTTCCCCCATGACAATAACAAGGATTTCATCATTCTGACTAAGGAACAAATCTGGTGTGCTTTCAGAATAAAAAACCTTGTGCATGAGATCGGTGATGCCATGACACAAAGAGCAGCAAAACCTAGCAGCAGAGAGGGTGACAGTCTGGAGGTGCGGGGCACGCGGTGCTTCAGCCAGCAGCCGACCCGGGCAGACGTGTGCCGGACGCACACGGGAGACAGGCGCTGCGGGGTACCCGGCGCTGCACGGACCGCAGCTGCTAACACTCAGAAACATTAGGAACCAGGGAACGTTAGAAATCTCTGGCGTGAGCACACAGCCTCGGGAAGCGCAGTGATGTAAACTCTGAGAATGTTAATGACTTGTGTATTTTGGCAACAGACTCAGTATCGTATAAAAATAATGTTTAGTAAAAAAATCCCGGTGTCCATCATAAAAATTCAGGAAAAAAAAAAAAGAAAAAAAATCGATAGTGATTTCTGTCCTCATGGGATGAAGATGCCCCCATTTGTCAGAAACAGTTTTAAATAACAAATAGTACATTGGAAACAAAAATGGGTCAGCAGCCATTAAACGTGTCCTATATGAAAGTGCACATCTTTCAATGGAGTTTAACCACCATGAGGTCGCGATCTAACACAAACTGCAACTTAGGACCATAGAAATCAACTCCTTCTGATGGAAATATGGACCACCATCAAGACAAGGATACTATTTTCCTTACAAGATTAAAAACATTGAAATTTTGCAGCATCATAGTAAGGCACTCACCCATGGAAAAGTCTGTGACTGTTGCTTCAAATGGCAGCAGCTAACTAGCTTTGAACACGAGGAAGACAGTTTTCAGTTCTGAGCTAAGTGCTAGGGTGCCTTACATTATACGGGGGGAATTACTCGGGGGCGGGGAACTGTTAGTGTTAGAATTCTCCTATAAACTAGCTGTTTTTCCCCTTAACCCATTAAAGCATCTCATATTCTAAAATATTAGTTTTATAAATCTAGTCTTCTGTTTTAAGGCTCTAAAAATCCCCTCCCCCCAACCCCCACAAAAAATACCTACCAGCGCCGGGTGGGCAACGGAGGACCAAATCCGCCATTTCACAGTCAGGAGTCTATAGTATTGCATCTTAAAAACGAAAACCTGCTTCTGCCTCCTGGGATTTTTATCCCTTCCTTGAATGCCTTCACGTGTTTGGTCAGGTCAAAACTTTGCAAAGCCAGAAAAATTAAAAAAATAATCATCGGTCTCTTCCAATCCTACAGAGGTGTCGGATCTTTCTGTCCCGTGGTGCTGGTCTCCTGCCTCGAATCGACGCTGCCTGCCCTGCAGTGATTTCTCATTGGAAAAAAACCAAGGTGTCCCAATGCTTCCTTTTTTGTATGGCTCCTACAAATCTGAAAGCTTTCTTGAGTGAGGTAACAAAAGTTAGGCTTTCAAGCAAAGTACATGGTACGTAAAGTGTCCTGATGAACCTGCACAGCCTTCGCCAAGGCCTGGGGGTCTCTGCCGTTGCTCTGTCCAGATATATGGCTGCCCTCGCCACTGAAAATCAAGGAAATCACCACATAATTATTTCATATTTCCCCCCCAGGAAACCCCCTTGGAGATGAGAGTCCGCGAGCGCTGGCAGCGCAGGGAGGCATCAGCGTACAGGGATGCTGGGTGTGCTGGTGACCATGTCGGGTGCTGCAGAGATCCCGGCACCTCGAGGTGGCTGGTAACGCTCAAACACCCCGGGACGAGCTCCGGCTGGGATCTAACCCTCCTTCACCCCCAGTTCCCCATGGCTGGTACCAAAGCAGATGCAGCTGCTTGCGGGTCTCCCCCCCAGAAAGGGCCTGCAGCAGCGCTGCTCCGACACAGAGCACTGAGGCAGGGTGGTGCAGCCCCTGCCCAACCCCCACCCTGGGGTCTGCCGTGCCCTCTCACCTGTCGTGCTCCTTGTCCACGAGATGGTACCGTGCTCTGAAGGCCACCAGCCGGGCGTAGTACGCCGGGGCCGGGATGGAGACCGACCGGGTGCAGCGCACGTAGGTATGGCACAGCTGGTACGTGAGGATCTGCAGCTCATCCGCGGTGAACCGGTTGTCATCCCAGAGCACATAGTAATGGGATGGCCGGCTCGTACCCTGGGAAGGAGAGGAGGCACTGAGGAAGATGCTGCCCATGCCCAGATGCAGGCGGCCACAGGCAGCTTCCTCACATCTTCATCCCTCCCTCCCTGACCAGAACGGCCCAGCAGGCAGCCTGGGCAGGAGAGACGCCTGCGCTTCCCTGATGTGAGAACCCCATGCGGGCACAGGCACCGCGAGGCAGGAACCAAGGTGCAAACCAGCAGTAACGCAGCTGCTCCGTGCCCAGGCACTGCCGGTGCTTCTGTGCTGCCAGCCCTGGCTCCTGACGCCGCACAGCCACCGCGTCACGTCTCGCACCGCCTCCCCGCCAAACCGGGCCAGACCCCGCTTTCCTGGCAGGGGGAGAGGACGCCAAAAAGCCTCCCTTGCGGAAGCAGCTGTAGATGAAATGAGTGCAATTTTTTCAGTACGGTTTCTGACTAATCTTGGCTGCCTGAAGAAAGGCAGCTGCAAATCAAGCTGCCTGCTCCAGGGCTGGCTGGCCCCAGCTCTCCCGCCCACGGCCAGACAACAGGTCCCTGCTGACGACCAGACACCCCAGCGAGCCCGGCACGCTCAGACACCAGCTGACAAGCTGCTGAGTTGGCCACTCTGCAGGAGAAAAATCTCAGAGGAGAGATCCTTGGCTCCAGGAGAGAAACCAAGTACGTGCCACACAACGCGGCAGCAACGCCGTCCTGGCATCTGCTCGCCAAACCACCGCAACGGCAGCTTGGACTAAGTGCCCACGTCTCCGGCGCTGGAGGAAGGCGATAACAGGGCCAGGTCAGGTGCACGAGAGTGCAATCTGCAAGAATCACAGAAGCAGCCCAGCAGCATCACAACAGCCAGCTCCACAGCGCGGTACCTGAATGCCGGCGTGACTGCACAGGTAGAAGTCGAACTCAAAGGGGTGGGTGATATTTGTACTGTTGTTCCGGCTGGGATGTTCCCGCTCTGCCCAATCTACAGGGAACAGAAAGAGAGACCCAAGCACTGCAAAGTTTGGTTATTTCCAGCTGCCCAGAGCACCATCTGTAACACACCTGCCCTGCACCAGGGCCACAGCGCAGGGTCCCCACCACAGCATCTTAAGTTTGAGAGCACCGTGCAGAGCCGCTCCCCGAGTGCCTGTTAAGGGGGAACAGCAGCAGCTCATCCTGCTCTGCTCCCTGCCTGAACAGGCTTGCTGGCATTTTCTGCAAGCAGCAACACCAGGCATGACGCGGAGATAGAGCAAACAGCATCAGAAGGAACGCAGGCAGGGTGAGGGCTGGGCACTGGCCCATCCTGCTGCAGAAATGAGGATTAAGTGAGCAAAACTCAAGGGATCTCTGCAGACAGTGTACTCTGCCTGATCAAAAACTGCCCTCGGTTCCCAAGATTAAATCCTCATGCTCAGGTAAAGCCAGAGTCTGGTTAGACTAGATCTAACCACTAAATTTAGATCAAATTAGGAAAAGCTACAGCGATCAATGTCACTGCACAGCACACACGAACAAGCTGCGAGCAAGCAAGGGGTTATTAGTCCTGTCACGTCAGCAGCTACAGCTATCACCAAAACAACAGATGTTTTCAAGCTGACAGCGGCTATTTCAGGAGAGTCACCAGGATCATCAGCACCCAGCAACTCCTAATAACAGCAAACAGCTGTCCGGGTTTCCAGCAGCAGCCTAATCCGCATGGATGCGGGAGTCAACCGAGCGGCACGTTTCATTCAAGAAAGAGCTCTCTGCCTGCCAGCGGCGAGCTTTCCCCTCGGCAAAGTCAGGGCTGACTCTTCCGAAAGGCCAGGGCTGCATCAGCCGCCTCCGGCCCCGGCACCCTGTGGCGCTCACCCTCTCGTTCTTGTCTGCACAGAAGAGACGGGTGTGATGCCTTTTCTGGACGACGATGTAGGTGATGCCAGGCTGGTAATCCTTTTCCAGTTTGATGCAGGCGTCTCGGATGGCTAGGAGCTCATAGTGAAGGATCTGGAGAGACAAGGGCACGCAGGGTGAAGGGGCACGCTGGCACGCAGTCGTCCCTGTGCACCCTTCGGTATCCGAGGGCTCCTCACCTGCGGGAGCTGCCCCTCGGGAACGCCGTCGCGGTAGAAGATGATCCTGGTGGGTTTGAAGCGCGTGGATTTGTAGAACTGGATGAGGAGCTCCCTCACCATGTAGGACAAGTCCTCGATGATTTCCTGGCGAGGACGCTGCACACGCACCGTGGCACAGTACCGGCTGGGGTGGGCGTCCATGCTGCCCACAACCTGCAGCAACGGAGACAGGCCAGGCCCACGCGTTACAGCAGGAAGGATGGAGGGGACGTGGGACATTCCTGGCCTCTGCCTGCTGGCAGTGGGCAGAGCACCCCGAGCTCGCAGACTGGCAGATGGGACAACAAATACTGTGCAGGCAACTAGCGCCCAAAAAGGATGTCCCCAGTCGTGGCCACGTCCTGGTTTCACACTCGGCCGTGGCCCTCGCGGTGTGTGTGAGAATTTCCAGCGAGACAGCTTGGCCAGTGCCACTGAGCGACGTGGCTGTGGGGCTGCTGCTGCTCTGCCCCTCCCTCACTCCTCCTGCTCAGCAGCAGAGGGGCGAGGGGGGAGCGGGGCCGCCCATCCCACCGCCTGTGTAAGACTTTCTCCTTCCACCCCTCACTCGGAGCTTTTTGGCTTCCCCAGAGGACTGTGTGACCCCAAACCCTGCTCCGCTGCTTTCGCCAGGGCAGTGACAGCCCCAGGTACAACGGCTGCAATGCCACTGCTGTGAGAGCTGCTGTGGAGGTACCACAGCAACGCTGGGAGCCCTGCCATCGGCCGGTCCTCGCCCCTCCAGCTGCGGCACAACTGGCCGTCGAGCGGGGAGTTCCCATCACAGCCAGGCGCTCTGGAGGGGAGACCTCGAAGACGTCAGGGCACAGAGCCGAGAGCAGCTGGGCTCGGCCGGGACGCAGGGCTGGGGCACAGCGTGAGTCATGGGCGTCACAGAAGGTGCTGGCCCACGCTGGGAGACAGATGCCCGGCTGCTTCGCTGCACCCCCGAGCGGAGGGGAAGCCCCCAGACCCCACATCCTCACGGCGTCGAGCCCGCTGCCCCTGCCCTCAGCGCTGGTTTTACTTTTGCTTCGCAAACGGAGGTCTCGGGTCTGGGCTGCACCAGCAGAGCTGATGTGCTCAACAAATGTTTCCCTTGGCCTCAGCTATGGACCCCCTTTTATTGTCTACGGACCAAGGACAAGATCAAGTCCATTTGAAGGCTCAACCCTTCTCCTCCCCTGCAGCTTCAAAAATGCTTTTATAAAAATTAAGGAAAAAACCCCCACAGTGGTCCAGTACAAAAAACACAGAAAATGTTTTCGGAGTGGAAGTGCCGCCGCCAGGAAACAGACTGTTCTGTCCCACCCACACCTACAGCAAACAGCCAAAAGCACTTCCCAAACCCTTCTAATTAAGAAAAAAACCACTCCTCCAAAGACACATTTGCATGCCAAGGAAAACCTGAGCTATGAGTCCTGGAAAGTTAAGAAGTCAATAGGAAAATGCTGACGTACTTAATTAAAACAGACGCTACGAGAACCTGACACGCTCCTTCGCTGCAACGAGCACAAGGCGACGTCCTACAGCCTGACGAAGGGCACGAGCTGCCACCCAGCCTCACCGGCGCACGAGCAGCACTTCTCTCGATGGATGCTCCCTCTTCGCTTGGGGCGAAGGGAAAACCTCCTCTCCAAGAGGCTCAGAAGCAGCCCTGTCACCCCAGCTCTCCCCAGCTTCCCTGCCTGGGGAAGGTCTCTCCCAGGGCTGCCCCGCGGGACCGGGATGCCCAGCGAGGGCTCCGGCTGCACACCCGTCCGGCAGCGGGTTCCGGCACATCGTGAGCCTCATCTGCTGGCAGCTCTCCCGGCAGCTCCCCAAAACCACAGCCCCTCTGCGCAGAGGCAGGAGGGGACCGGGGACCCACCTCCCTGGAGAGGGACTGAAACACCCGATAGGGCACGGGGCCACCCCGTGTCACCGCGGGGACAGCTGGTGGGAGAGAAGAGAAAGCAGCAGTCAGCCTTTCGTTCAGGGTGATGCACAGCCCAACGGCGACAAGCAAGTCACACAGAGGACATCTCCCGAGCTCCGGGCTCTGGCCTGGGCACCCCAACAGCTCATTACAAGGTGAGACAGGCTGTGAACCCCCATTTCAAGCAGTTACTTTATGCAGCCACCCACAGATCACTCTTCCGGGAGAGAAGAGAAAGCAGCAGTCAGCCTTTCGTTCAGGGTGATGCACAGCCCAACGGCGACAAGCAAGTCACACAGAGGACATCTCCCGAGCTCCGGGCTCTGGCCTGGGCACCCCAACAGCTCATTACAAGGTGAGACAGGCTGTGAACCCCCATTTCAAGCAGTTACTTTATGCAGCCACCCACAGATCACTCTTCCCCAGGCAGGCAGCACCACGAGGGACGTGGGGAACAAGCCCCAGCACCGTGAGAGGCAGCGGCCATACGCACCGCTGGTGAGGCACAAGGATGTTGTTGATCCCGCCAAGCTTGACGTTGATCTTGAGGCAGAGGTTGGAAAGGGTCTGCGGGGAGGTTTTTACCACATTCTTGACCTGGACGCACTGCGTGGCCATTCCCAGGAGGGTGTCCCCGACGCGCTTCACCTCGGCTGTGGGCAGAGGAAGCAGGTGAACACACAGGCAACCAGCAATGCACCACTTCCAGCAGCATCTTCGGAAACGGGGAGAGAAATCGCTGCGGAGGAGCAGCGCCAGCCCTGCTGAGCCAGAGCCAAGCCCCTCTCCTCTGCCCACCCACCCCTGCCCCAGACGCACCGTACACCGGGGTTTTCCCTGGCAGGATGACAATGATGAGCTGAAGCCCTGAATAGGTGTTCTTGAGGTGTCGAAACATGGGCTCCACGCTGTCTGCACCCTGGGCGTATTTACAGAAACAGGGCTGGCCCTGGATCGGCATCCCTGCGTCCTTCGAGATCTTGCGCAGCTGGTCCGTAAAGTTCCTGTCCCCGGGGGGAGAAGCGTTCAGCCCTGAGCCCCGCACGGCAGCTGCCCCGACCACCGCGGAGCGAGTGCTGCGGCACAGGACTCAGACGGGGACATCACCACCACGCCACCGCGCCTGTGCTTTACAGCACCCAGCAAGCACGCGGCACGGGAAACACAAGACCAAGACGTATCAGAGCTGAACCATCCCCTCCTGGCACCTCCTACCCGGGTACTGACTCCTGAGGGGTGACAGAGCTGCGAATTAGAAAGCTGGATAAGGGGTTAGCAGACCTGCTTGGTTTCCAGACAAGTGGCTGATGCAAGCCTTCCCTTACCAAACCGGACAAAGCGCTCAGCTGCACTCTGGATGTTTGCATTGCCAAGGATAAATTTGATGCGGGGAGAGCCCAAGGGAGCGCAGGGCTCCCAGCTCTGCCCCAAAGGGTCACAAGAGGAGCGCTCTGTCACTCCCACCTCCCCCCCGTCACTGCAGACACAGAGGCTCTGAGCTGCTCCAAACCATCACAGACCATGCCAAACAACCAGAAGAGACACACAAAATGCTCGCCTCGATGCATCCGCTCTGGGTCAGGTGAAACCTGAGTCCCCGGCACAATCCAAAACCAAGGTGACCATTTCCCTCCATCAAATAAACCGTCCCCGCTCTGTGTCGCTTTGCTACGGAAGCAGAGAACCTCTAAGCCACCAAAGCTTTTCAGAAAGCCAAAGACTTCGTAATAAAAACCCGTGGTGAGTTAGGATGCTTCCTACATGAATTATATTATTTCAGAAAGGCTATTGGGGAAACTTTTCATTAAATATCCCTCACAACCCCATCTCTCTGAGGAGATTCAGCTGAGAAGAGTTCAATACAGCTTTGGGGCTGGCAGTACGGGATCACGATACTGCAGCTACCTGATGCAAAGAGCAGCTCGAGGAGAGCCTGACAGCCAGCTCGCACATGCTGAGTGCCGATGTGCCCACCACAACCCGGCAGGCTTTGCAGTGGCTCAGGGACTGTGTCCAGCCAGGCTAAACAGCCAGGCGCTCCGGATGAGCTAACAGAAACAAGACTGAACACCCAGTCTGCACCCGGATCAAACCTGTGCCACGAGCAATCCGGATCCACACCTGATGACGCAGGGCATGCAGCCCCAGGCTGGGAGCAGCAGGGTGGCCGCACCACGAGCCACGGCCCCCCACGCCATGCGGTGGCTGCCCCTTTCCTTACTTCAGCACCTCCTCGCGACACTGCTTCTGCGGGGCAAAGCAAGCAATCGCCCAGACTTTGATCTCAATGCCGTTGTAGAACTGCTTCCCTCGCATGTCCCACACGCCTTGGTTGGGAGTTGCAATGGCCCGGTTCTGCAAGGCAAACAGACGGTCAGAGCGGTGCCGCGTCCTGCCCGGCCCCGCGCCGGCATTTTTTTACCCTGGCTGTGCTCCCCATCACAGAGCCGCGCACTGCCAGGGCCTGCCGGGCCACGTGGCGACGGGCAACGCAGAGTCTCAGCTCCTCAAAGGCGATGGCAAATTCACCCGAGCTGCCTTACCCTGAGCATCCTTCTCCCCTCCAGCTCACTTTTTTGTCACTGAACGACTTCTGGCCACACTTCCAGAACATTTGTATTGCAAAAAAACCCCAAAACCCGAAACCCAAACCCTAGGCACTCTGATCAAAAATTCAAGCTCTAACCTGCAAACCTGAAAGGCAGCCCTGCTTACCCTGCCTCCGTACTGCAGGATGGGCGCGGGCAGGACCCTCCCCGTCACCTCTGTCATGTCATCTTTCACCTTGATCCCAAACTCCTGAATGTACGGATCCAGGTTGTAGCTGGCGTTCTTCATCTGCAGAGGGAAGGAAGGGCCATGGGAGGGAGTGAGACCGACTGCTACATCCCACGCAGCTTCACCCGGCCGGGAAACACGGGCACCTGAAGTCACGATCTCTACGGAGCTGAAGTCCTCTCCATAAGGGGAGGGCAAGCAGTTTAACAAACAGGGCCAAACCCTGTCCTCCAAACTGACCCATGGCGGCCCTGACTTCTGAACGCACTGACCAACACAACTGAGAGCGGAGCCTGCTCCTGAGATTTAAGGCTCCAGTGGGAAGGTTCAGACTGGTAAGAGACTGTTATCAAGGGTCCCAGAAGCAATACCAAATGTCCCCGGCTTCGAAAGCCCAGAGACATCGTTTGGGTAACACCAGCACCATTACCACCTCCTGGCCAGCTGCTGGCAGAGCCGGGTTTGCTGCTGCCCTGGCTCGCCCCGGGCTGACCTGCAGACAAGAGTTCCTGTACCGCAGCCCCACAACGCACAGGCCCCATGTACACCCAGAGCCAGGGTCATTTCTGTAATTTATTTTCCTATTTTTAGTTCCAGCTCCCTTTGGGTCAGGTTCCACCACTGCGAGGACCTGGATTTGCTGCACACGAGTTTCCACGGTCACTTTGAGCTGGGCTCCTCTATACCAGTGTCCATTACACACGTGCAGACATCTCTGACCAAGGATTCAGTGAGCAGAGCGTGATAAAACCAAGCCATTAACCCCACCAGCATCTTCTGAGCAGGTCGCAGCTCTCCAGTGCAGAACAGCTCAGGAGCAGGACCACAGCAAGGTTCACCACGGACATGATGCCGTAACGTGCCATCAGAGCCGCAGCCCCGACACCGTCCCTCCCATCCCTTCCAGGGACTCGTGCCACGTACCAGGCGACTGATTTCCTCCTGCCTGTCTGGGGCAGACCTGGCTGTTGCTTTTATCATGGTCGATGTCTGATTGTCTGTGAGCTTCTTGATGCACCGCTGGCCTGCCACGATGTTGCACACCTGCGTGGCAGGGGAGAGACGGAAGCCACGTGTTAGGGACAGGGGAGACAAGGGGGGCCACGGCC